AATAGATAAAGGAAACTAACATAATTCTCAAAAATGTATAAATATTTGTCACTGATAATATATGTAAATAACAATTAGAGAAGATTACTCTCAAGTGAGGGTGAATTACTAGTGCTAACTGTGAAGGTGTGAATACACTCAGCCACAACTAACACAGATCAATCTATTCAGTCTTTCTGAAAAGCCATCTATTCTTATCTATTAAAATCATTAAAAGGTGCATACCTTATGACTTCAGGACTATCCTAAGGAAAGGACATGGCAATACTTAATTTATGAAGAAACCAACTGCTATTCATTCAAAATAATTGAAAAGACCTTAAATTTTCAAAAACCATTAAGGTGGTTAAATAAACATTCATATATCTATATACCAGAATATTGGGTGCACAATGTAAATGTTTTGTAGTAAAGATTAATATTTATTGACTTGGGTAAGCATTCATGACCTGTTAAGTGAAAATAAACTAATAACAAAATACTGTATCTTAGAATTTTTAAATGATAAAAAAAGTTTCTTTGTGTTTAAGAAAATGTAATCACCCATCTAGAAAGACCTATATGGATATTCACCCAAATGTTAATAAAAAGTATCTATGGATGAAAACATTAAAAATGTTATTTATTATTTAGGTAGTCTTGAATCCCCCAAATTTCCTACAATGGCTATGTATTGACTACAGTAGTAATTAAGAAAATACTGAATGTTGGGGCTGGTGAGATGGCTCAGTGGTCTAAAGCACCTACTTAGAACAAGCTAAGCAAAAACGCAGCGACCGCGGTTCAATCCCCAGCACCACATGCCAGCCAGCCCCACCCCCTGGTGGGCTGAGCTGGCCACACACAACAATATTGTTGGGGGCCTGCCCCTTAGCTCAGTTTTTTAAGTGGCTGCTTCAACAAAGCAGTCAGGCTCAGGTTGCTGTGGTTCAATCCCCACAACTCAAGCCAGTCAAACCTGCCCAGAAGGCATTCGGAGCCAAAAAAAAAAAAAAAATCCTACAATATTATTATGCCTCCAGTAACAACAGTATTCAAAATCATGCTAATAGTGATATTCCTACTTCTTTTTAGGATACATCAAAATTAGGGATATCTTTCCTGTGTAGGTGAACTCATACTTTGATTTTTTTATCACAATGAAAGAACTTTTCAGAGCTATAAAAGAATCAAAACAAGAAAAATAGACAATCAGACAAAATGTTTCACTCCATTTTTATTTATGATCAAGTAAAATCCCAAAGAAAGTTCAGAGATGAGCCATTCTGCTTTCATCACCCCAACAAAAGCAAGACTCAAGGATGAGGCACAAGCTCTGGATCTCTACATCCAAATCTTCACCAGAAAGTTCAAAAATAAAATGTAAGTGTAGGGGCAGAAAATATAGGCATTACCTTTCTCAGAATAAAAAGTAACGGGCCTTTGACAACTTTCAATCATAAGCCTTCTCTGTCTCCTTTTGGAAAGGGAGGACTGATTTTTCTCTCCCAGTAACTTATAAGGTAATAGCTAAAAGGCAAACAAGATTTCTTCTGAGCTAAATGCTTTAAAAACATAGATTTTAAAGGGTTAAATGTTCTGTTTCCCCAGTGTAGCCTAACTCTGAAAGGGCCAAAAAGACTGGCAGTACTTGGCTCTCAACAATAAGCAATAGATAAACTGTTAATTCCATCTCCCCCCTCCAAAAAATGACAAAGCATTACATGGTGGTGCCAGGGGTCTCAGGCTCCATAGAAGAGGTTTTTCTAAGAGGCATTCATTTTCACAGTATAGAGATTTTCTCTAAGTTCTCTGAATATGTAAGAGGTACTTCAGAGAACCAATCTTGATGTTACATGACAACTCTGCTAATAACAAAGAAATATAGTCTTTTGTATCATATTCCTTATTAAAGATGTTGCTTTTAAGACTCTTTTTTCTCACTGATCAAAACTCCAAATTCCTTCCTTCTAATTTGACTAGAACTAATTATTCTAGTCAAATAATTACTACATCTTCCCTAAATTACCTACCTCTTTGTCTTTACTCTCACTTTCCCTATGAATGTAAGCAATAAACATAATATTCCTTCCACTATTTTCCTGCAGTGCTTTTCAACCATACCTGTACATTGAAATTATTTAGAGAACTGTAAAAATAAAACAAAAATAATGCAAATAATCTATACTGACAGAGAGTAGATGAGTGACCAGTGGTTTCCTGGAGATGAGAGAAAGATTACAAAAGGGGATGAGAAAACTTTAAAAGGTGTGGATATGTTCATTATTTTAATTATATTTATGATTTCACATTGAATGCATGTCAGACATTAAATTGTACATTTTAAAGATGTTACACTGATTATATGTTGTAAACCTCTTGTGTAAATAAATACCAATGTTTGGGCCCTAGCCCACTGCCATTGGAATAAGAATTAGGCTCCTTCTGGAAATCAAAATTCTTAAAAGTGCTCCAAAAGATTGTAAATGTGTAACCAAGATTGAGAGGCACTTCTCTACAGCTATTGTTTTTCTCTTTCACTTCAGTTTTCTTGAAAAGCCTCACTCACAAGCAACTAATGTATTAACTACCCTTACTTGCCCTATCTTCTGAAGACTATTTTCTAAACCACCACCCACCTAAAAGTGTATTTGTTAAAGTTAGTTCTGGACTCCTGATAGTCTCTCACTACTTGGGTCCTCTTCTTAGTGGATACCACTTGACAGCATTCAAAATTGTTGATCCCTTCCCCCTTCCTTTGAAAGTCTCTATCCTTGGCATCTTTCCTAATCTTGATTTCCTTTATAAATTCCACATTCATAGATCCAAATAGCTATCCACATCTTCAGCTGAAAGTTCCACCACTTCCTCAAACTCAAAAAAATAAAATTTAGCCTCTTCTATCAATGTACGGGTTCCTCATTTCCAGTTAATGGTAGGTACCAAGTCAAATCCTCAGAGTCTTGATTGTTCCTCCTTTCTTCTCACATAGATAATGAGGGCCTATTATATTCTACCTCCTTTGAGTGAGAATCTAAAATACAAGCCAATAAAAGGCTTCTCATTCATCACCTTCAATCCAATCCCTTTAGCTAAGAGTAAAATGCTGTGGAGTGACCCTCTACCATCCTCACTATCCTCATCTCCCACCATTTTCCTATTAATCTTGCATTGACCCATGTCAGTGTCAATGTTGTTGGCTTGTCATTGTCAATGACTTTCCCAGCTTCCATAGTTTTTCGTCCTCTTTGCCTTCTCAAAACTATATTCTCCGGGGCTGGTGAGATGGCTCAGTGGTCTAAAGCACCTACTTAGAACAAGCTAAGCTAAGCAAAGCACAGGGACCTCGGTTCAATCCCCCAGCACCACATGCCAGCCAGCCCCACCCCCTGGTGGGCTGAGCTGGCCACACACAAAAATAAATAATTAATTAATTAATTAAAAAAAAAACTATATTCTCCTTCTGGAAAGTGCTTCATTAGCCTTTGCATTTCAAAATTCTGCTGGGTGTTCCCAATTCCAGCAACATCTAAGGTAAACTGACCAGGTCCTATTCTATGCTCCCTTACCATACTAGGTTCACATTTATTACAAGATATTTTAAATGTTCACATTTATTACAAGATATTTTAAATGTTCCTTTATTATAATGTTACTAATACCTCATACATTGCACAATTATTTTCTGAAGACAAGAGTTATGACACTCATTTCTAAATCCCTGGTACATACTGAGCCTAGGGCAATGCAGCATCCACTGCATTGGTTTGATTTCATATGTCAAAAAAAGTCTTGAATAACATTTTAAAGATGTCTTCGGATTTATTATTTATATATAATAAATTCATTATTTATATATAATCTTAATATAAACAAGCCTCCTAGGATTATCACATTGATACAAGGTTAAACTAATCCGTATGACTTGCTGCAGCTAAGATTTTACACACTGAAAATCCCAAGTGGTAAAGTGTCACATGAACCAAAAATGTGGTATACCTGCTCCAAAAACTACCGTGAAACCCAAAGGACAAATAATGTACGTAAGGACAAATGAGCCCTATTGCCTGTGGTATATAGTCTCTAAGATAAGGAGTAGATGCCAGTTGAATGAACTCTTCTACCTGAACGCAGTGGCTGCCAAGCATGTGATAGTGTATTTCTCAGAGAACCGAGTCTGTGCACTATGAAACCACTAGGGCAAAATTATAATCTTTCAGTAGTGCCTAAACTCTGAGGATACAAAGCACACGTGCATGGCGAAGGGCGGATACCCAGTTTTGCTGAAGAGGGGAAACTTGGGCTCTTTAATGCAACAATTTTCAACTAGAAGCCCTAACGATTCTTGGGTAGGATAAAAATCAGCCTCAGAAGAACTCGTGCAATGAAGGAGGCAGGGGCTGCAGAGATCTTCAGCGTAGTAAATAACCAAAGGAGAAATTGTAGCTGCTTTCTGATCCTGTCTTCCCTGCGCGGGACCAAAGAAGGAGGCGAATGCTGCATTCAAAAAGGAGCGGGGTCGACAGGGACCATCTTGGCTAGCAGACTGGACGGATGGCGGTGACCTCCCCAGGGTTCAGGCACAGGGCAGGAGGGCTAGGAGAGGCCGGAGCATCAGAGGAGGTGAGGTGGGAGTGCGGGCTCCCCAGCCGGAGCCCACCCCGCAGAGGGGCCGAGGTTGCAGCCCCGGGTCACGCCCGGGGCCCGACCGCTGCTCGCCGGAAAGGAGGGAGCCCGGGTCCGCGCGCTCGAGGCAGCCGTCTTCCAGGCAGCGGGCGGGCTGCGCCCAACTTCGGGGTGAGCAGGCGCTAGCCGCAGCCCACCCTCCTGGCCCGGCGGCGCCTCGAGCTCACCCGCGAACCTCGCGCGGGAGCCGTTACCCCCAACGAAGCCGCAGCCGGGGACAAAGTCCCGTTCGCTCCCCGCCGCCGCCGCCGCCTTGCCCCGGCTCCTCCCTGACAAAAAAGTTCTCGGTCTCCGACCGCCCTGGGGGCCCGGCGCTGATCGCACCCCCGACTCACCAGAGCGGCTACGGGAGCTCCACTGCAGAACCTCGACCTGAGCGGCTAGCAGCCACCACGACGGCGGCGGCTGTGCTTCCTCCAGAGTAAAGCACCACCTGCCCCCCTTCTTCCTAGCAGAACGGGTCTCGGCGAGCCATCTTCCCCTCCTCTCACAGACTGACAAACCAGCCCCGACAGCCGCCACTGCCTCCAGCCACTCTGACAGGCTTGGAGAGAGACCCGTCCGCAGGCAGCCAACCACTACCGCCCCACGCCAGTTCAGCCTATCGCCGCCCTCTGGGGTGGGACTAGAACAACTTCTTCACCAATGAGAATCTTCTGCTGCGGGGCTTGGGGCGGAGCCATAGAAGAGAGGGAGGGGCAATATGAGTGGGCTTGGCCTGAGGAATGGGCGTGGTCGGGCCCCCGGAGGAAATGATTGACTGTAGCGTTTGTGGAGGCCGCTAAAGAAAGAAATCAGTAAAGATCTCTTAAACTCTGAGCCCTTAAGGTTTAAGGACGTCTCAGAGGAAAATAAGCCCTACCGGGTGTGGTAAGATAAGAGAAAAAAATTTGATATGTTAATTTATTGGGTAGGAGGATTTCCCAATAGCTAATTCAAGTGACAAGTATTTATCCAAAATCTTTTGTATCTCCTGAAAAGGTCTGTTTTTTGTTTTGTTTTGGTTTTGGGTTTTTTGCAAAATGATAAAAGAGAAAAAAGCTCTTTCTTACTAAATTATAGTGCCTTACCTTGGAAACAAAAATCTAGTATATTTCCCCTGTTTTCTTTTCATGGACTGTTTTTGTTTTTTTCCAATATATGACAAATGCAATCAGATTTTTTGTTAAAGGGTGAGAAGTATAAACAGCATGTCTATTTTCTTTGAGGGGAGTCCTGAAAGATCAAAGTGGGGTTACTGTTGGAAGACCAATGTGATAGATAATTCAGGTCCATGGGCCAGACCCTGTTATGTGAGAGTGTTTACCCAAAGTAGGGGGGACAGGAAGACCCCCACGGTGTGTTCTACCCTGACATCCTAGAAAAGCCTAAGAAGTTTAATTTGCCATTTAATCCTGGGGAGTGAGAGAGTAAGCGAGCAGGGAGGGAAGGAAAACCAATGGTTCAAATAGATCATAAAATAAACAGGAGAAAGTAAAGGAATACGCACACACAATCAGTTTTACTGGCCACCGGCCATGTAGACCACTGATATGTTGGGCTGATTTAGAGTTGAGGTGTCTGATAACAGCAAAGCCAATCAAAATCAGGGCAGGATTCCAAAAGAAGACCTGAACCACACCTGTGAACACTAAGATGGAAGGCAGGAGGAAATACTGGCTTCCTACACTGTGCAAGACACCTGGTTTGCCAAGGATACAAATAAATGCCAGAGCATACACAGCACGGTAACAAACAGGTGAAAAGTTAAGCAAAGATTAAGCGTTAGTGCAACAATAGAAGAGATGACACAAAGCAGCACACAATTGATTCATTGTTCAGAGGACTTTCTGGTGGAAAGAGCAATCCTTCCAGTCAGGAGTAGTCAGGGAAGCCTTCATGAAAGAAGCCTAAACTGAGCAGACCCTTGGAAAATGGGTAAGAATTAAATCAGAAAAAAAGAAGTGTGAGGAGGAAACTGCTGGAATGCTTGGAGAAAAACAGTAGATAGGAAGTGTAAGTAATGTTCAGAGGAAGCAGTTTGGGCCAGCCAGAACCTGACAAGCTTGGTTGTGCATAGATAATAATTGCTTTGAATATAAGCCCAAATGTTCTCTCCTTCTGCCTTGTGGCTTTCTGTCTGCTCAGTTAAAATCAATTAGGATGCTTTCAAAAAATATTAATGCCCAAGCCACACCCCATACCAAATAAATCAGAAAATTGAAGATCGAGCTTGAATATAAATAAGAATTTTTTTAAAAGCTTTCCAAATGTCTCTGATATACACTCAGAGTCAAGATCAGGGATGATGACATTGTAACATTTTACTAATGCTAAATTAGGATTATTTGCATGAAATGGATTGAGTGTAGAGAAAGTGAAATCTGCCTACGTATATGCAATTTGTTTTCTTCCAGCAAGAAGACAGGAAGCAGTTTACTGTCCAGCTTCACTTCCCATTTTGTACTGGTAAGACAAAATTAAAAAATCAAAGTTAATTCTTCCACTAAAAGTCAGACCAAAGTACCAATTAATGCTAACAATCCACTGTCCATCAATTTGCACATATAAAAATAATTTTCAAAAGTAACAATCTGGGCTGGAGAGATGGCTCAGTGGTCTAAAGCACCTACTTAGAACAAGCTTAGCAAAAGCATCAGGGACCACGGTTCAATCCCCCAGCACCACATGCCAGCCAGCCCTGCCCCCTGGTGGGCTGAGCTGGCCTCTCTTTCTCTCTCTCTCTCTCTCTCTCTCTCTCTCTCTCTCTCTCTCTAATAAATAAATAAAAAATTTAAAAAAAAAAAGTAACAATCTGCAGTTAACTATTGCACATAACCATTTATATTTTAGTAGCAAAATAGAAAAGGCCCATGAGAACATTCTGTTTCAAAAAGGAAGTGCTTTTAACCTACTTTTTAAAAAGTAGCATATTCCAGACTTTTTCTATCCATCTTTGCTGATCTCTGATATATGTAAGTACAATTCTACATTAACTATTTAAATGCATTATCTTCTTCAAAAAAAGTTTACTTGAAAAGGTCATCTAAACATTGTGAAGCATGAATATTTTCCCTATGATGTTAAATTTCAGGAACTTTAAGAAAAATAGCACAAATAGATTTCTATTAAAAACAGTTTGAAAACAACTAAATAACATAACTTTGTTTTTTCAAGACAGGGTCTAGCTGTATGGTCCAGCCTGGCCTTGAACCCACTATGTAGTCCAGGCTGACTAGCCTCAAACTTTTGGCCGTTCTCCTGCCTCAGCCTCCAAAGTGCTGGAATTACGGGCGTGTGCCATCCTACCCAGTTCACCCATTCTCTTTTAAGAATTGAACTGGAAATAGAAAGAGGAAATAATTCCCATGATTGGAGCAAAAGGTAAAAAGTCTGGCAATAGAAGAGTTAAGAAGCCATAAGCAAGACAAGTGAAGAGCAAACTAAAACCATTAGGTGAGAAGAGACCTCTACGGTGGAGGGTTCAGTGATAACAAAGGTACAGTAGAAGCAGAGTCAGAGTGGGACAGGTCACTATCATAAAGACAGAAGCAGTGAATTCCTGTTACTGAAGGAAGAGTGAAACAAACCTTTTCCGGCAGCTGCCCTAGCTCTGTCCAGCCCCCCGTGTTTACTTCCCCCATCTGTGAGGTCCAGCTGCAGCTGCTTCCACTTTGTTGCCTGTGGTCCTCTAAGGGAATGGTCATGTCCTCCACCTCTGCATAAACTAAGAAGTAGATCTCTGGGATTGTGGCCCATCCCATGATGGTGCATATTTTAGTTTTCATTCGTGTTCCTGGCTCATAAATTCCATAGTCCTTGTTACCTTCTCAATAGCTGGAACAATAAAGTTAAAGTATTTGTCTTTTTGTCTCTAGTTCCTGAAACCTTCAGGGGGATAAAGGTGAAAGAGTCTTTTGCTATAAAATTGGACCACTCTAGGTCTCAGATGCTGGCCTCAGAAAGAAAATCAATCCATCCATCAATGAATTAAACACACACACACACACACACACACACACACACACACACACATCCTCTTCTTCTGCCCTCCTTTTGCCAGGTGCTTTTTCTCCCAAAGGATGGCCCATAGAAATATACTCTAGTCTTCCACACCTTTATGCCTTGCAGCTGTTATTAAAGAAATTCTTTGAGCTGCCTTGTCTAAAAGTAGATCATAACACTGCCATTTCACAAGGGGGTCCTGCCCCATACTATGGAGAAAGGAATGCTGCAGAGAGGCCGGAAGGAATCTGAACAGACAGGCTTTGCTTGGTTTCCCTACTCAGTCTATCAGCATTAAGTCATACCCTTTTGTCCAATTGCATTTCAACACATCTGTCTGTGTTTCAATCATGCTTGGGCAATAAAATCCTCCTAAAAACCCTTAGGGGCAGAGTTCATAGAGCTGCTGGACAACTAAACCCAGGAAGCCTACAGGAAGGTGAACCAGACTTACCCAAGTTCAGGAGGGTGGTGCACCACAGTTGTGGGAGGACAGAAGCTCCTATACTGGAGACCCTTACAGACCCCGCCCTATGCAGCTCTTCATCTGGCTGTGCTTTCATATTCCCAGTGAGTTGATAGACACACATGGTTTTCTTGAGTTCTGTGAGTCCTTTTAGAAGATTAATCAAGCCTAAAAAGAAAGCGATAGGAGCCCAGTTTGTAGCCCTTCGTTCAGATAGTCTGAAAGCTCAGACTTTCGACTTGTGCCTGATTCCTCAACTTGTAGGATCTAACATTCTTTCCAGGTAGAAGTTCAGAACAGGATTGAAATAGGACACCTAGCTGATATTCACCACAGAAGTGATTGCTAACTTGCCAGTGGGGAAAAATCTCAACCCATTTTTGGAATTATAGAAGTGATCTGAGTTACAAGCACATAAGTGGAGAATTAGTTTGCTTTTCCTTTGTTTCCTCAGATGGATGAAGTGAAAGAAGCAGGGCCAATTGCATTTTTTAAAAATAGAATAAAAAATAGTAAAAAAAAAATTAGAAATGATACAGAATTTCACTAAACAAAATGATAGGAATTCCACAATTGTTGTTATGTTGCATATTGTTGTCTCCAAATTAGTTGTTCAGATTACCAGATATAAGCACACAAAATTAGTCCAAAAAATTAAAAGAAAAGAAAAAAGCACTAACTGTTCCTTTTAATCAGCAGTACAATTATCAAAGCTATTCTGTGTATATACATATATATATATATTATTTCCCTTGTTTCTTTCTTTTCTCCTTTCCCTCATCCCAGTTGCTTCTTCTCCTTGTAAAATTTCTTACCCTTTCATAGTATCTATTGTACCTTTCAGATTTTATTTACTCTTTCATGTTCTTACATAGTGAGACAATATGATGTTTACACATGTGGGTCTGGTTTATTTCATTTGCAAGTATGGTCTCTAGTTGCACCCATTTATACATAAAAACCTTGAGCTTATCTTTTTATAGCTGAGTAATACTCCACTGTATAAAAATACCACATTTTTTTATCCATTCCTCAGTTGATGAGCATTTGGGTTGTTTCTGACATTTAGTAATGACAAACTGTGCTGCTATAAGCATGGGTACACATATATCACCACAGCATGATGT